AAAATTTAAACTCGAGCTCAATTGAAATTCAAATTGGAATGTTGAAAATGAATTTATTTGTAATAAATTGTATAAAATGGTACTTTCTATCACAAATTATAAATATATTCATATAACGGATGTAAAATACTAATAACTAGAATATGGATATTTGTGTAGTTTCATATATTTACAAATATAATTAAATAGATAAGACTTACGTATATAATATTACAATTTATATACATTTACACAGCGTATGGATTATACAAATTTTTGCATGTTCCAATTTCATATAGATGCCTGAAAGTCACTAGCATCGTAAATCATAATAAATATACAACAAACATCATAAAAGACCGTGTCGAAACGATCTCGATCGATTCATTGGTTCCTTCGCAAGAATCCACTGTCCAGTAGCCAATATCGTCATACAGGAAGTACCTAAATTCTCGATGTTTGTCGATGTTTTTCCCAATTTTGTCGCATCGTATGCATCGTACGAACGAGCAACGTTTTCCCAAGAAATAATTCTCGGTCCGTAATCTTCGTAATGGAATCGTAATAGCAAAAGTAACAGACCAAGTGAACAATTCTTTCGATTGGTGCTGTTCCAACGACACGTGAGAAGGATCGCGACGAGTTGTTTGAACAAAGAAACCGAAAGAAACTGAGCCCGAGATCGGAAGGTTCAGGCTGTGTCGAGCGTGTGTCTTTATTAAAACGATAATCAGCTATCTGCTATCTTCTCGCGTGACACGCGATCCGTCATCTCCCACGGTGTAATTATAATTCTAGACCTTGAGATTCGTTGGCGAGCTAAATCGTTTGGCTCGACCAGCTTTATAAATCTCGTCGTTCCGCATCATCCTCGCGGTTTGTTTCCCGCCTATGACACTTGGACGGGGACTGTGAAGCTCTAGATTCGCGTACGTACGATGGTAACACGCCAAGCGAGCGGTGAAAGAGTCCGAGAAATTAGTTATCTCGTGGCGGGCCAAGCTTTCGGTTCGAAGCTTTCGAATAACTCGAAACTCGTACGAACGGCCCGCGTTTTTTCTTCTTTTCCCGCCGCCGAACACGACGGGGAGTCGTCGAAGAGAAAATAAGAGGAGGAGAGCCGTGTGACATCAGCGGGTAATTCCGAAGGCGCGAGCAGAAGCTTACGCTCGGACGCGGGACACTCTCATGCACTGTTCTGAAGTTCTCGTTCGTTTCGATTTGAAGATCAACGCATTCGCAGTTGATCCTTGGCCGAATACTTCGCCATTGAAATGGGAAAAATTTCGATCGTATGGCTATTTGTTTGAAATTCGAAAAAAAAAGATCGCAAGTTGAGAAGGAAAGAATCACTAGGTACGATCTAATAATAATTTGAAAATACATCTCTTCTAATAATAAACCCGGGAGACATCTCGTAGAATTCTCGTAGACGCAGGATTTTTTGCCATTGAAGTGGAAGTAAATGTAGAAAATTTGGTTTGGACAAATTAAAGGAAGATTAAAAGTAGAAAACACGAGAAGAAGACGTTTGCTGCGACTAAGTATTAAGTATACTGGGATTGTTTAAATTCACAACTTTGTACAAATTAGTTTGACGTGCGTTGCCAGGCGAATTAGTTCTCGAGACTCTGAAACGACGTGGAACTATGTTGCCGACCGCGAATGTGTTGAGATTCTTAACAAGACGACTCGAATGTGCCAGGTTTACGTTCGCTGCTTTCCGAGCTGGCTGTAATCATGCGTTAACTTGTGCAATCCGTCGAAATTGAACTTCTCGAGAAGAGCAGGTCCCGCGAATGAAGTTCGACGACGTCAGTGATCTCTTGAACAAGCGAATGTGTAAAAGAAACGTCGAAATTTCGCGAAAACACCGAAAGTTCACGATCTTTCAGTGATCTTTCAGATTCCGTTTTTTAAATCGTTTTCTTCGAGTGAGAAAATCGGATGAACGCGAAGGGAAAGCGATTCTGTTCCTCCAATGCCAAAATTAAGACCCACAAATTAAGAGTGTACTAGGTCACGTTTCTTCAAAATTTCGTCCCCCGGAGTTAAATATATCGCCTCCAAAGTTGTTCGAGCTAAAATCGAATTTTAATTCGTTCAGATTGAATGGTGGCTCGTCGGTTTATCGTCGGAGGAAATTAGTAACGAGTGAACGAATGAAACGGGAACTAGGAGATCGAGGAATAAAAATTCCGACTAACACGGTTAACCAGACACTCTCGCGACTTTCAAAGTTATTGCTCGTTGGGAGAAGGAAAGATAGAGGAAAGCGATGGCAAACCGAATCCATTCCTCTTTGAGATCAAGACTCTTAACAAACGTGACAACTCAGACGTTCAGTACCCCCAAAATTCATTCCCTTGCCAATTAATCGCGTCACCTCGCGGAAAGTGTC